GCTCCAGCCCCAGAGCTCACTCCAGTGTCGGCTCCAGCCCCGGAGCTCGCTCCAGTGTCGGCTCCAGCCATGGAGCTCGCTCCAGTGTCGGCTCCAGCCCCGGAGCTCGCTCCCCGAGCTCCCTGCTCCACCATGGCCTCCCGAGTCACCTGCTCCGCCATGGTGCCCCGAACTGCCAGATCCGCCATGGTGCCCCGAACTGCCAGATCCGTCATGGTGCCCCGAACTGCCGGATCCCTGGAGGCCTTCCGTCTGGTAACCCTGCTCATAGAGGCCTCCAGAGTGCCCCCCCTTCCCCATTGGATGTTGTACGGCGCGGGACGCGCCTTCCAGTAGTGGGGAGTTATGTCAGATTCTGGTCCGTGTTTTGTGTTTGATTTGCTCCTCATGTGCCTTTCTGTGTTTCCTTATTTGGTCATTTTCCTGTCCTTGTTTAGTTTAATTATGATTCCGTTCAGCTGTGTTCTATTAATTACCCTTGTATTTAAGTTCCTGCCTGTTCAGTTTCCCTTTTGTCTGGTCTACTCGTTACGTGGATGTGTTTCCTGCTGTCTCCTGTGTTTATGTACCCTGTGTTCCATGGATTAAAGACTGTTTCGTATATTCCTTATCTCCTCGCTCCTTAGTTCCGGTTATCCTCGTGTGTGTGTCGTGACAACTTGCCATTAGTTCGTAAATTATTGTGAAATTTACTATCCATTTCTGAACAAAAATTGTTTTTTTCAGTGCACAGTGAGAAACAGGATATGATATCACATTCTAGGGCTTCTGTATTTAATAAATAATAATAAAAATAAATAAATAGCTGTTTTAAACTCAAATCATGACGCTAAGACTGTCAGTCAACATTATAGAACTTCAAGAGTAAAATATTATATTATATTATATGATGTTAACAAAATTGAGGTTTATGGTTAAGAACATACCAGTGGGATATAAAACAATAAGTAATAATAATTATAATAATAATAAAATATTTTCTCTGAAAACATCTAATAAAATATTATCTTCTTCTAATAAAATTCGAAAATACTTACATTGTATATAAGTATAAAATGTGTGTGTGTGTGTGTATATATATATATATATATACATATACACATATACACATAGTATCAACTTTTCATGACATTAAAAATATTTAATTAATCAAAGTTATTATAAAATGTTACTAGAGTGTGTAGCAGTCATCGCAATGACTGCATGTTTTTGTGTCTGTGTGCTTATGTGTGTCACACACATGACATAAGTGGTTATGACAAGTGCTGAGAGTGTGTATCAGTGCCAGTGGCAGCTGGTAAAGAGACACACAGTAACTGGATAATGAGTGCTCTATTTCAGCCAGGCTGAATCTGTCTACACTCATCTGTTTAATACAGCCCTGCAGCCCTGTGTGTGTGTGCGTGTTTATTTTTGTATGTATATCTGTGAGCCCAGGCATACAGCTCTGTATCACTCACACTTGAATGCACATGGTTATTTAAACTCTGCAAGAAGACATTATATGTGCATGATTTGTTGTTGTCCTATTGTTATTTTCTGAATACTTTTATTCTTAACATTCTAGAATGATCAAATTAATATTTTGACATTATATATATTTTTGCAACATTCCAAAGTTCATACAAGTTTTAGTTTGCATAGTGATTTAAAAATACTTTTTGAATTGTAAATATGTTTGATATGATGAATCCAGTTTTTTTTAACCTTAACTCTGCCTCTTACTCCATTTGAGTGGATGATTCTGACCACCATCATTGCCAACTGCATCGTACTGGCTCTTGAACAACATTTACCAGATGGAGACAAAACTCCACTGTCAGAACGACTGGTAAAGTGGAACACACACACACATTCTTAGTGAAATCTAAATGGGGACATTGCATAGACTTCTATTGTTTTTATGTACAACTAGTTATAAGCACTATAATCTACCCAAAAATGAAAATTTGCTAAGAATTGTCTCACCCTCGGGCCATCTAAGATGTAGATGAGTTAGTTTCTTCATCTGAACAGATTAGGAAAAATTTAGCATTACATCACTTGAACTATTCCTGTAGCTATATTTGGGGACAACTGTACACCCAGATCCTGATTTGTAAAAATGGTACAAAAATTAAGTAAACAAACTTTAAAGTTAACTAAATTTTCAACAAAAAAAAATTTGGGGGTGAACTACTTTTTGAGTAGGTACACAAACAGTAAAAGAGTAGTTAAAACTTACTGTTCAAGTACACATAGGACAAGTTGAGAGTCATCTGTAACTACAGGGACTGTTTGAAAGTATCCACAAAGATTCACAAATTTTGATAATCACAAAGACACAAGCACTGAGAATGTTTTAAGTGAAAATTCATTTTCTAATAATCCCATCTGTGGTTTTATTTCTCTCGCAGGAAGATACAGAGCCCTATTTCATTGCAATTTTCTGCTTCGAGTCGGGCATTAAGATTCTTGCACTGGGATTTGCCTTCCACAAGGGCTCCTACCTGAGAAACGGCTGGAACGTGATGGACTTTGTAGTGGTGCTCACTGGGTGAGTTATGCAAACACACACTCTAGTGTCATAGTAAAATAGAATGAAATAGAATTGGAGCTGCTCGATTTATGAGTCAATATAAACAATTATTAGATGGCTCTCTGGAATACTTGATTCTGATTGGTAGATGGTGGCATTCTAATGTCAAATATTTTTGTATAATTATTTGTATTTTCTGTGGAGTTAGTGGCTCTTTTTGATCGATTCATTAAAAGAGTCATTTGTTCATGATTCAAAGTACAGTAGTCATTATTTTTATGCAGCCAGAGGTGACAAAGCAATACAAAATGTGTTTTACTTAGAATTTCATGGCCTTTTTAAGTTCATAACAAAATCTGTAGAATGCCTAATGACTGGCTGACTGCACAGTGTCTGTAACATGTACTAAAAGATGTACTTTTCAAATGGCCTAAACTAGCCCAGAGAAAGTCACGCCCATTCTGGAACTGTGTGTGGGAAGCAGTGCTATGTACACAGCAGAGGTCTGGTTGGACGCTGGTTCCCTCATGCCTTAATGAGCACTTTTTCTCACACACACATGCACACACACACACACACACACACACACACACACGCATACATGGATTCTCAAGCAGGTAGATCACAGCAGCACTGTAGGGAGCAACCATCAGGGCAAGTCTGAAATGTCACCTCACAGGAAAGCAGAGAGAGAAAGAGAGAGAGAGACAGACGAGTGTGTTGGGGGGATGTGTTGTAGTATTGCAGTGCTAAAGAAGGCAGGGCCATGTGATTCCATTACGCCATTCCCTTGGGCTTTGGAATATTGGAAAATTAGAAGGAGAGAGAGAAGGTGTTGGTTTATGTGAAAAGGCGTATAGCTGGAGGAGGAGGAGATTAGAGGCTAATGGAAGAATTCAAGATGGAGTGAAAACCTTTAATTTCCATGTTGGTCCCAGTTAATTTATCCTGGTTAGTGCTGGTTTGGTGCTGGTCTTGCTGGTGGAACAGGAAAATTCTGGTCGACTAGCATGATCATTATAACTGACTAAAGGAGACTTGCTTGTTGAAGAATTAGTGCACCTATCTTTGTCATCATTTACATTTCTTTCATACGTGGAACAAAAAGTATTTTTTGTCAAACTGCTCTTTATAATAAAATGAAAGTGAACCGTGACACATTTGTCCATAGTGTCACTGATTTGTGTGGGGAAAAAAGCAACTTGGACATTCCAATAAATATCTTTTTATATACAAACTTTCAAAAGTGTGGGGTCTGTAAAAAAAAGAAATAGAAATTGATACTTTTATTTAGCAAAGATGCATTGATTTGATCAAAAGTAACAGTAAAGACCTTTATAATGTTATAAAAGAGTTCTAATTAATTTATATGCTGTTCTTTTAAACTTTCTATTAATAAAAGAATCCTACAAAATTTATCATGGTTTCCACAAAAATAAATGTTGATAATAAAAAGAAATGTTCCATGAACCTCAGCAGCAAATCAGCATATTAGAATGATTTCTGAAGGATCATGCGACACTGAAGACTGGAGTAATGATGCTTAAAATACAGCTTTGTCATCACAGGAATAAATTACATTTTAAAATATTTATAAAAATGGGGGGAAAAAAGAAGACACATATATTAAATTGTGATAATATTTCACAACATTACTGTTCTACTGTATTTTTGATCAAAGCATAAAATACTTATTTTTGAGAAATTGATTTTTAGTGTAAGAAAGAAAGCCTTACAGGTTAGAAACGATATAAGGTGAATAAATGCTGATTTTTTTTTTAGTGTACTGTCCCTTTAAGAAGACTAGTAGGGACACCAACATACCAGCATTCAAAACACACCATTTGCTAGTCACCAGCAGTGTTTGTCTATTCAACAGGGAACTAGTGAAAGTAGAAATGAAGAGGAGGAGGGGAGCAAAACTAGAACATGGAGGACAGAGGTGGACGGGGAGAGGAAGAGAATGAGAACGAGGGAAACGTAAAGGAGCAGGGCAAGCGCGCATGTGTGTGCTTTCGTAAGCTGCTGCAGTAGCCTGCTTTTCACTACTGCAGATGATCAATCAACTAGCCCTGCTTTTAAACATGGGCAGATCTTCACACACACACACAAACAGCTGCAAAACTGAACATGGCTAATCATTAACTACATCCTCAATACACATTTTTACTCACCGTCGAGTTCTGCGTGTGCATATTGGACACATTTGTAAGCCAGCAGTATCTCTGTTGTGAGTATGTGTGTGTTAGAGAGAAAGAGCTGCACTTTGATGATAAAATGCATCCTCCTCCATGCTACTTCCTGCAGCTTTGATTTCTATTAACAGTCAGACTCATACACACCTTTACCTACTGAAACAAACACGTAGTAGGGATGGATACCGAAACCCGGCATTTAATCGGCATTCGTTCCTCCCTAAAACCCAAACTTAACGTCAGAATCAGCTCAATCTGTGATTGTTGTAAGATGCCGTCTTTACTGTTGCTAAATTGCGGGACATGTTGATAATAAAACGTTGAAAGCACAATCCGCACAAGAGACGCTGTTCCCGGGGCTGAAATGTGTGCACGCGGCGTGCTCCAATACGGACTAACAAATTACACTTTGAGCTTCGGGTGTATGTCCAAACGATCAAATACACACAAAAATATGTCAAAATGGCCAGCTTGGAGAGTATTCATTTAAACAGAGTTTATGTCTTAAGTGGACGTGAACAGTTGGGAGAAAATCCGATGAGTGTCAATGTACGTATAGGCCTAGTGTTTTAAAGCTTAATTTGTGCCGGAACAAGCCGGATCCTGATCCGTCACCTCCGAATTTGTCCGAAATCTGATCCGGCACCTCATTTGACAGATTCCCTCCTCACGCGCCAATGAAAGACGCTTGTGTTGACCTATAGCGTGCATACATTTCATGAAAAAAAACTTCTGTTATGAGCAGGCTTGCCTAGCATCTACATTTGAAACAACAAACTTGAGCGCGCAAAGAGATGCGACGTGGCTGCTCTCACAAACCCGAATGCACGGGTCCAATACTGATACACATGCGTTTTCTTTCTCAGATGTTTACATTTAGTTAAGACAAAACCGACTGTGCTTACGAGGATAATCGCCAGGATGGCCATTTTGCCGTAATTTTTTGTGTGTATTTGGCCGCGTAAGCACAACAAGCTGCGAAAAATAACTAAATTTGGTACTCGCGAGGCGGCGCGATATGCGCGCTATGGACGTGACTGTGAGCGTATAGAAAACTCCCTTTGGAGCACGCGAATGGCTTAAACTTAAAAAGATGTGCAAATGATAGAGTTTTGTGACGATGCAACAATGACTCGATTAGGCAAGTGACAATTCTGTCGACTGTCCCGAAACCCGAGCAAAAGTCTTATATCGCAGCGTGCAGTAGTGCAGACGAGATGTGCTGTTGTGAAGCCGCTTTGAGAGTGAGAGAAGACCAGCCAGAGCCCTGACTTAAACCCAATTGAGCATCTCTGGAGAGACCTAAAAATGGCTGTCCACCAACGTTTACCATCCAACCTGACAGAACTGGAGAGGATCTGCAAGGAGGAATGGCAGAGGATCCCCAATTCCAGGTGTGAAAAACTTGTTGCATCTTTTCCAAAAAGACTCATGGCTGTATTAGATCAAAAGGGTGCTTCTACTAAATACTGGGCAAAGGGTCTGAATACTTAGGACCGTGTGATATTTCAGTTTTTCTTTTTTGATAAATCTGCAAAAATGTCAACAATTCTGTGTTTTTCTGTCAATATGGGGTGCTGTGTGTACATTAATGAGGGAAAAAAAATTAACTTAAATGATTTTAGCAAATGGCTGCAATATAACAAAGAGTGAAAAATTTAAGGGGGTCTGAATACTTTCCGTACCCACTGTATATATATATAAAAAGTACCGATAAGAATACCGTTAAAGTACCGAATCGATAAGCAGTATCGGTAAGAGTAGTAATACCATTAAAACCTTAACGATACCCATTCCTACATACACATACTGTCATGTTGTGTCCCTCGCAAAAGCGAGTGATCCTGTATTTTTTTTCTCTTTCTGTCCAGAAGAATTTTATTTTATTTTGTTTTGTTTTTATTTGGTAACACTGTATTTTACATTGTAAATGTTACATGTACTTATAGCAATAAAAATAAATTATGCATAATTACATATAACTAACCCTAACCCAAACCCTCATACTAACCCTAACCATATACAGTACATACATGTAGTTAATTAATATTACTCAGTACTTAAATGTATATTTACACTGTAAAAAGGACACTGTCAAATTAAGTAACCATTTACTGTATTTATTTATTTTAGTTGTAAGCGCAAAAACTCGTTTTTGTCACAGGCTACAAAAAGGTGAAAAAGTTAATTGCGAATTTTTGTTTTACAATTCAAACCTTTTTCTCGCAATTTTGAGAAAAAAAGTCAGAATTGAGAGATATAATAGAATTGCAAGATATAAATTTGCAATTTGAAGAAGTAAAGCATGAACTGTGAGATACAAAAACACAATTGCGAGAATGTCACAATGGTGAAATAAAAAGTCACGATTACCTTTTTTTACTTTTTATTTCATCGTGGAAACAAAAACAAAAAAAAAAGAATTGCGAGATATCAACTCAGAACTGTAAGAAAAACAGTCAGAATTTTGAGTTGCAGATACCTTTTTTTAAATCCTGTGGTGGAAACAAGCTTCCATCCGTTTTAGTTATATTTAACCACTTTTATATTTTTACCATTTTATTTAATTAACATAAGATTATTTATTAAAATATTACAATTTACTTACTTATTTACTAATGTTTTACTAACACAGGCCCTTTCTTTTAGACCATTTATTTTTCTATTTTAAGTGACCCAGTGGCATATGAGCAATCAGAATAACATATCAGCTTTGTTTAATTAAATTTTGTGATGTGATGTTTTCTCAATAGTCCTGATTTAATGACAGGCAGTTAACTGGCGCTGGCCACTGTAGGATTACTGCTTACTGCTTGCACAGTT